ATGTTGCAATTTGCAAATACTAAATGATCAACCATGAAGAACGATGATAGTATAAAAGATTGTTAAGCTAGAATTACAATTAAAAACAAAAGTAAAAAGTAGTAAACTTAACATTATCATGATAAATAACAAGCGCTACAAAAAAATAAACACGCGTTCATTGCATAACCGACCTAGGAATCTCTCAGAAAAATAGAAGATTTATAATTGATTCCTCAACTCTCTAATTTTTAACTAAATAATTCTAGCATTTTTTTTATAGAGTACAAATAAATATGCTACAAAAAAAGTATTCTATAGGAGTGAGAAATTATATGCAAACATTTGTGCATAGAAATGCTTCAAGAAACTCAAAATATTTCGAGAATAAGAAACAAGTAAGAGAAGCTAAGTTGGAAAGAGCACAATAAGAATGAACAAACAATTAATAATTATAAAACAAAATAAGAGCAACTAATTAGTTAATTAAAAAAATTAAAAAATAAAAAGTTTGAAAAATAAACATATCTCATTTTAAGAAGAAAATAAAAAAATCTCGACCACTCATAACTTTTAATTAAAAATTTGTAACGGTCAATCATCTAAATGACTCATTTATTCTTCTCTGGTTTACAAGTACAATAATTAAAAACTATATATTTCATTAAGGTAAATCAAGCTTCTATGCAACTCTAACATGAGGATTGATTAATAATGAATGAATAAAATCTTCTCACACCGGAACATAGGTCAAATTCAGATATGGAAAAATTCATTTCCCCATTTTCCCATAACCCATTAGGCCATTAGCGAGCCACAACGGAATCCACTAGAGAAGACTCCTCCACCAGAACCGCAACATAGGTCCAAAGCCTCACCAAAAATAAAAAATCACCGACATTATTTGATCCAATTTTTACAAGCAACAGGATCATTCCTTAAGACCGTAATAGAAAAATAATGCCTTCCCCGCAAGAACAACACCAGGAGTTTTTCATGACTTGCAAGCCCCGAATATAAACAAGTGATGCAATGTTTTGTTATAAGCAGATCAATCTATGCTGAAGTTTAGGCATCAAAGAATAAAAGCGGTAATGTTATCACTGTTTGTATATCCCACTAATAAAATTATTACATGTCAGCTAAATGTCAAATTTTTTGCATGTGGTAATGTTATCATTGCGCAGTTACAATCACAGTAATTGAGTTAATTAAATTACGGGTAACTTTTTCCTTTCTTACATTCTTTGCTTTAAACATTAACCATTTCCGTAATCAATTAAAACAACTCCATAATTGTAAATGCAAAGCTCGTGGAAGCATAAAATATACTCATCATAAGCTCTCTAATCAATACCATTCATTTTAGCTTTTTGAAAACACATTTTTAAAATTTAACACAGTGGTAATCGATTACCATCCCTGAGGTAATCGATTACCCAAGGTTACTGTAGAAGTCAGAACCTCAAGTTGGGCTCCCCTGTTTTCTGGTAATCGATTACCAAGGATTGGTAATCGATTACTGAACTAGGTAATCGATTACCAAAGCTCTGGTAATCGATTACTTTGCAGACAGAAGCTCAATTTTTCGTCCCCTGTTGCAGGTAATCGATTACCAGTGAAAAGTAATCGATTACTATACAGTAAAAATGACAGATGACAGCTTTTTAGACCCAAAATGAGTGGTGTAACATACTCCTAACACCTTGATACTTATTATACACTTTACACATGTCCTAATGTAGGCTCTAAGCCCTTCCATCATGCATATTCATTAACCAATGCATCATTACAACCATTTGCAATATCATGGCCATTTTACACAACCAATAGTTTATTTACAACTGAAGTCTTCCAATGCCTCAAAATACTATTATGTGGCCATGGACAAGTCCCATGCTCACCCAAATACAAAATAACAAGAGGTATAACTATACATCAATCTTAAAGGACTTAACATATAGTCATAAATATACAAGAGCATGGCAATATCCACATGCAACAAGTTCATATCTTAAGTCCAAAATATCACATACTACACTATGTACATCAAAAGGAATCCTTCAATATGTCATGCTCTCCAAATGCACCTCACGCTCTACTCTTCCACTAAGCGGGCCTCTTGCCTGGAGATCCACCATGCTCAGTAAGACCTGAAATGATGTCCCCAAACGCGGGGTGAGATATACAAATATATCTCAGTAAACCAAGGGTACTAGAGAATCACTCCACCCCATGGCTCACTCAATGTGCATACAATGATCATCATATAAAATGCATAACATACATATATCACACAACAACAACTGGGCACAAATCCAAGGACATCCACATCAGGATTCCCTTAAAGGACCCCATCGTATAACTCCCGGAATCTTCCTGGTGCCTCTCCCATGGTTGAGACGACCCCATGGCAAAACCCAACTGGAACTCCACATGAGACCTATCCAGCGGAAGTCCCACGTTTGGATCATCCTGGTACCGCTCCCAGAGTCGGTTCCACGGCAAAACCCGACCGGAATCCCCAAAGGATATCTCCAGCGGAAGTCCAAACCAACACACATCTACTGGCCAGAGATCACAATTATATCACACAACATGCTCCAAGCATGTCACACAATCATGTCAATAATGCATGAACATACATTTATACATAATCAAAGGCATCAAATCCAACCACAACCTTCCACTAGGTGTGGTGGAACACACAAGGGAATAAAACCCAAGTTCCAAAGGTTTACCTCAACTTTGAAGCCCATGCTCCACAACGTAAGCTCCAAGCTTAATTCTCCTCTATTGAGTCCGAGGGAGGAAACCTATAATGATCAATCAATATGATCATCAATACAATCTCAAGACAACCAATTCACTTTCAAAATACAATAATTCTCAACAAAACAACTTAGGCCTAATGGCCAACTACATTTAATCCAATTACTGTAACCATTTTAGTCATTAAACTAATTCACCATTTATGCACTAAGGCATCACACATTGGTTATATCACTTTTCACATCATTCTCCTTATTTCCTTCAACATGGTTGAAATCTCACACACATAACACATCCAACATTCCTCCTTTCAATTTCACTACATCAACCAACCTACCATTCATTTAAACACCAATCTCGATCATATAACATCAACTATATCATTTTTACATCATCTAACCATGTATCAACCATTGATTAAAACCATTTTTCACTTCAATTCTTCCTTCCCACTACATGGTTCGAAATTACAAGGAACCATCCAACAAGGTTCTCAATCCAATTCAACACTTATACTCATCATATAATCCTATTATTTACATATACCAACACACAATCAATCATTCTCAACCATTGCAATTCATGTTCACATCCCACATTTTCATCACTTTTCACCAATTTCACTAAGTTACAAAATCCAATATCACTATAAATTTTATTGCATAATTCATCACTATACATCATCACAAGCAATAAATTACAAAGGGACAACACCATTAAAGGTTCCTAACTACCCTCATTCAACATACATCATCAAACCCAAACCCATTTCTATGATTACCATGAAACTTCAAGGGGGAACAAGAATTCTTACCACCAATAGCTTGCAAATGGTCCAAGAAGTGATAATCAAGCATCCACTCAAGCCAAAGCACCATCAATGGCCCTCAAAATCCACAAAATCGTCACCCCTTCACCAAGGGAGATCTCATCACACACTCACTTTCAAGACTCTCTCAAGAAGGGACACATACTCACAACCTCAATGCAAACAACTTTGATGTTGGAACTCTATTGATTTGGTGGCTAGGTTTCAAGTTGGCAACAATCAAAACAAACTCCCCTCCCTCCCATGGAGGTGCTGCCGTCGAAGAAGAAAGGAAAGAGAGGAGAGAGGGAGAGAAAGAAAAGGCGTGAGGGAGAGAGAGAAGATAAGGGATTTAAGTGACTTTTGGTGGGGCGGGTCCCACACACGATTTAACTTTGATTCAAACATCAATTTCAACTACAATTTCACAATCTATGTATTTTTCTGGTTCTAGACATATTTTTGTTTCCTAAAAATATTCATAAAATTTTCACTTTTATCGGTACCATTATACCGCAGTATTTTTACACCGGTAAAATCAATATTCATCAAAATTTTCAATACTTGCCTATTCACTCGATTTTTCATCCTGAATCCATTTCTGGCATTATTTTTATCATTTGAGATCTCCTACTCCATTTTTCATGCCTAGGGATACGTGTTTGGTAAATTATCATTTTACCCTTTTCACTCAATTTGGCCTTAATTTCCGGATTTTCACTAATCCTTCCCTTTTAACCCACATTATAGCATATAATTTCATATTTAGATTTTCGAGGTGTTATAACATTCCTTAACCAGAGACCGTAAGTTGAAAAATAATGCCTTCCCCGAGAACAACACCGGGAGTTTTTCATGATTTGCAAGCCCCGAATATAAACAAGTGATGCAGTGTTTTATTATAAGCAGATCAATCTATGCTGAAGTCTAGGAATCAAAGAATAAAAGCAATTACATCCAACGGATACATCATTTTTCTGTCTTCTAATCCAACTAGATTGCTATAGTAGAACTCCAGACTAATGAAGAGGAACGCTCACCTATGATACGAATAAATCTTTGGTGCTACTGTTGCACCAAAGATTCAGTACATCCCACTAATAAAATTATTACATGTCAGCTAAAGTTTTTTTTCTCTGTCAAATTTTTTCTCTCTCCTATGATGTGTAATACTTTCATTGATGGGATGCACTGAATCTTGGTGCAGCAGTAGCACCAAAGATTTATTCCTATGATACATATATAGTGACAAAAAAAAAACTGGACTACTCTTACATAATTCACAAATTGACCCGAGAAACTCAACAAGAGTCACATAGCCGCCCGTTGTCTGCCAGCATAACTAATTCTAGACTTAGATGGCAAACAAAGATGTTTACTGAAAATACCATTAAATTCTCCATGTTATCATCATATAATCGTTTATGACGAATATCATAAACTAATTTTCATCTTCAATAATTCTTGTCACAAGTCCAACAGCAATTGTTCTTCCTAATGATCTTAAGGACACCCTTCCAAGAGCTTTGCAACTAGAGAACTCTACTACACAGACTGTCTCGTCCAAAATCACCTGAAATCAGAGACAATAAAAGTCATTCCAAGTTTTTTTGAGTCCGTGGCATCGAAGACGAACAAAAATTCGGGTAAGATTATTTAAAAAGGAAGTTTTGCATTGTTTATTTACCTCAATTACTGCACTTTGCTTTGCAGTAAGACAGCGTGGGGACTTTTTGGTTACCTTACCAGTCTTGGGATCAAGTACTGACAATATATTTGAAACTCTAGCAGGTTCCTTTGTATGGTGTATATGAAACTCTAACTGCACGTATAGAAAAAGAAAATTGAATTTTTTCCACCAATGAATAGAAATTGGATAATAAACTGTAAGAATATCTCATACATATCGTACACACCTGAGAGCCCACCAATAAGGGACTTGCACCATCCAAGAGAAGTACTTTCAACTCCAAATGCTTTGCAACTGTGACAGGAAAGTCAGGATGGCATAGTACACCTCCGGCCATTACATGACTTCCATCTACACCTAGCAATGTTACAGCTACGTTATCTCCAGCACTTGCAACCTTGCAGGCATTAGAGTCACGCTCCAATGAGCGTACTGTCCCCACAGCAGCTGAAGGCATAACTAGGACCTACAATATATAAATGATACAGTTATAGAAAGAAAATAGTTTTATTTCATGTCGTGTTAGAAGAGTTTAGGCATGTGATTTCATTCCATGCACTGCTATATTATACAGTAACCACATACAAAAAGGTTAAATTTCCAGGCTATAAAAACAAAATTCAAACTCCAATCACATCAATACTTTCTATCCGAAGACTGAAAAAAATTAAACAAAATTAAAATGGAGGCCACCATGGTACTCTTTTGCAGCACCATTACCACCTGCAATATTGACCATCGGATCCATTACCTTGTTCATATTTTCACTAAAGCTATTAGAGGTCTTATACGGACCAACAAGTCAAATACAGATTTCACCACAAATAAGATGTATCGTGACTATCTGGGGTTACTCAAAACTGAGCAAAGAATGTTCTAAAACTTTGCATGACATTGGGATATTATTTTATATCATATTCAATGGAATGAATGATGATATTGCACGATACATGCTTAACTAGCATTGTTAATCAATCCTCATGTTAGAGTTGCATAGAAGCTTGATTTACCTTAATGAAATATATAGTTTTTAATTATTGTACTTGTAAACCAGAGAAGAATAAATGAGTCATTTAGATGATTGACCGTTACAAATTTGTAATTAAAAGTTATGAGTGGTCGAGATTTTTTATTTTCTTCTTAAAATGAGATATGTTTATTTTTCAAACTTTTTATTTTTTAAATTTTTTAATTAACTAATTAGTTGCTCTTATTTTGTTTTATAATTTTCAATTAATTGTTTGTTCATTCTTATTGTGCTCTTTCCAACTTAGCTTCTCTTACTTGTTTCTTATTCTCGAAATATTTTGAGTTTCTTGAAGCATTTCTATGCACAAATGTTTGCATATAATTTCTCACTCCTATAGAATACTTTTTTTTGTAGCATATTTATTTGTACTCTATAAAAAAAATGCTAGAATTATTTAGTTAAAAATTAGAGAGTTGAGGAATCAATTATAAATCTTCTATTTTTCTGAGAGATTCCTAGGTCGGTTATGCAATGAACGCGTGTTTATTTTTTGTAGCGCTTGTTATTTATCATGATAATGTTAAGTTTACTACTTTTTACTTTTGTTTTTAATTGTAATTCTAGCTTAACAATCTTTTATACTATCATCGTTCTTCATGGTTGATCATTTAGTATTTGCAAATTGCAACATACGATCCTTTACATTCTGGTATGCAAATCATTTAGAGTTTTAGATGAGTAAAAAGAAAGAAAAAAACATAAAAACCATGATATGTGATGCAAAGAAGCATGTAACACGTACCTCTCAAGAGTTATAGACTTCATATTTTTTGACGAAGTCATGAATTAAAGTGATTATAGTAAACTGTATTTATTAAGAATTCCTTTTGAATAAGTGTATTTCTAACACTACTTTCGTAATATTACACATATTTAATATTAATTACAGTAATATAATAAACAATGTCTATCAAAGAATTTCAAATAGAATCAAGTTTGTGTTTTTGAGCTGCAATTCAAAAGATGCAAAAAGAATAAGATTTGTTTTTTCAGCATTGGTGGTTTAATAAAAAATAGAATAAAATGTTGAGCACATAAATTTTAAACAAAAAAAGAAATTAGAATATAAAGGATGTGAAGTGTGAACTATAAGAGATTCATGTTTGATTCAGTATATACAATAGTTTAAATGAATTATTACCGGCGTAAACAAAAACACGGATTTAGGGTTTATTCACAAGAAAAAATCACTCTAAGACCGATATATCCCTTATGGAAATGCCTCCCCTTCTTTTAATAAAAAGGATTTTAATGAATGAAAATATTGAAAATATTTAAATTAAATTGGAATTGAATCAATTGATATAAACAACTATGAACCAATACTTTAAAAATTAAATTGAAATTGAATTAGTGAAATTATAAACTAATTATGTACCCGTTAAGGTATTATATTTTTCAACTAATTTTGAATAAAGATTCAATTTTAATAGGTTGATTTAATCAACTTATGATCTATAAATATGTCAATTTTTTTTTTTAAAAAATCATTATTATGAATATATTTTTAATTTTAACTTTTTGAAAAAATAAAATAAAATAAACTTAATTTCAATACACTTACAATTTGTTAAAAAAATTTACATCACCAGAAGGATTTATATTACAATTTAATTTTAATATATTTTTGGGAAAAACATATATCCTTTCAAAGGATATAACCTTATATCATTTTAGATCCTAACCGTTGATTTTCATCCATCAACGGTTATAATCTATTAATTAATTATTTAATAAATTATTAATTAATTAATTAATAATTTTGATCCAATAAATTAATGGGCCAAATTTATTATTAATTAATTAATAATTTTGATCCAATAAATTATAACCGTTGATGGACAGAAATCAACGGTTAGGATCTAAAATGATGCAATAAAAATTTCTATTTGTTTAAAGAAGATATTCAGTTTCGAAACTTTTTTCTTTTAGCTTGGTTAAAGTTAACAATTCATTAATTTGTAGTGTTTTAAATTTATTGTATTCTATGTTGTCTTGTTTGCTTGGTTATGCATGATTATTTGTTGTTTGCATACTTTTTTTTTAAGGTGGTTTTAAAAAAAAAATTAATTAAGTTTCGAGGACGAAACTTCTTTTAAGGAGGGTAGAATGTAATACCCCATATTTTTATTAACTTTAACCTTATGCCTTTTAGTTAATTTGAGGAGCTTAAACTTTTAAGTTTCGAGGACGAAACTTCTTTTAAGGAGGGTAGAATGTAATGCCCCATATTTTTAATAATAAAATAATAATAATATGAATAATGATAATAATAAACTATATATATATATATATATATATATATATATATATATAAATTTTATGGTGATAGATATCAAAGTAGAATATTAATTTTATTTTTGATAAAATTATTTTGTGCGATATGAGTGTTATTGGAAAATAATTTTTATACTTTGTAATACTCTAGATTATTTATAATAACATAATATTATATATGTATATATATATATATATATATATATATATATATATATATATATGTAATTAATTGGATTATTAATTGATTGATGATTTAAGCATTTATGTTTGATTGATAATGTTTATTGATTGATAATGATTGATTTATGATTGATTGGTAATGATTGATTGGTAATGTTTGATTGGTAATGATTGATTGGTAATTGGTAATGTTGATTGGTAATTTGATTAGATATGATGAGTCAATAATGAGTCAATAATGAGTCAGCCTTGAGTTAGCAAATAAGTTAGCTGTAATCTGAGCCATAAGAAATTAATAAGAAAATAGTGTATAAAGCCAAAATCTGAGCCAGATACATCAATAAAGAATAAGGAAATAAATGCACGAAATCCATATCTGAGCCCAAAACTTCAACTATAAATAGAGGTCTAGCCTAACCAAACCAATTCACTCTTCAACATTTCTCATCTACTATTCTCTCTTCTTAGTTCAAAAACTTAGTTTAATTTATTTTATATTCTTCTGGTTACCAACCGGTTCTCTGCCCCAAATTTCTCTAATCTCTAGGTGGTTGTAGAGATTATAATCTATGCTCCACTAGTGAAAAATTTGAAAAATTTGAATTAGGTTATATATACGGTTAAAACTTAAAACCCTGTTCGGAGTAAAACCCTGTTGCGAGTAAAACCCTATTGCAAGCGTGGTCCCTCCCTGCGGTTCGGCGCTCTCTCTCTCTCTCTGTTGTTCGGGTAAGATGATTTTTGTTTTGTCGTATTTTGCTTTGCTGGGAATATAACTTCTCAATAAAATTGTCTGATACAATTAGGAAGAAGAATGAGAACGAGTTCCTTCCACCCATTTTTTTGGAGTGGATCATCTCATGTGTAAAAGTGGTCATGTGGTCATGTTATTTGATCACAACCATTCATTGATGATGAGATAAGAGAGAGAAAAATATATAATTTTTAAATGAGTGATTGTGATCAAATAACATGACCACATGACCACTTTTACACATGAGAGGATCCACTCCCCATTTTTTTTAAGGGGGAATGATTGCTTTTTTAAAGGTAGAAACTTTTTGTTGCCTCGAAAGAGAAAAAATAGAGTGGGGTCTATTGATCATATTTATAGTTTCTCTCTCTTCTTTTTTTCTCTTCACCGCAGACAAATGATTTTGGACATGCCCTTTTTTTTAATATATACACGATACAGTTTTGTCATGAAAATTTTTTTTTTTTTTTTGTTTTCTCATAAAGTTGCTTCTCTCTCAATAAAATTGCTTACTCAAAATTTCAGTTTTTTTTTCTTTTTAAGAAAAAACCCTTCCGTTCCGATATGAATGGCAAACTTGGCGGGATTAGGGACTTCTTGGTTACTTTCTGTGTTTTCGCTTTTCTCCTCTCTTTTTTTTTTTTTTTGAATAATTTTACTCTTAAAGTTTGCTTTTGAATAAAAAAACATCCATAGTGTAGAAAACACCATACTCTTCCTTAACAGCTGCGTGCCCCTCCTCCATTATTGCTCTTATTTAAACCCTTCAAAGTGTGATTATATTTGTTGTTTAAACAGGGACAATAATAAAAGAAACACATAAATGTATTAATGGTGATAAAGAGGGTATGGGTATTTTCTATATCACAGAGCCATTACTGTTTAAAAAAAGGTTAAAGGGTATTTTTGATTTTAAAGCAAACCATAGGAATATTATTAAAGTTTTTCCCAAATTTTTTTATTTCTGGTGTCGGGGAATATGGGTTTTGGATAGTTTTGAGTTTTTTTTGGCCTGGGTTTATGCAAGTTGTAAAAAAAAAATTGTCCGAATTTGGTGTTTTGATGTCAATTTCTTTTTTAATCTAATTCACTGGTATATGCATGCCAGCGTTTGTGTTATAAAAAATGTGATTTTTTTTTGGTAATTTATAAAAAATGTGATTTACTTTGCGCAAAAATGTGTTTGATATATGGTGTTATTTAATATTTGATTTTTTTCCTCGTATGGTGCTATATTTTATCCCTAAATTAATTATGCTTGTTGAATTGGGTTACATTATTTTTGCTGGGACTGTTGCTATCTTTTTTTTTTTTGGCACCTTGTTTGGGCTATCCAATATGTGATTGATGTATTGTTTCTTTGATGCCTTTGCAGCAAAGTGTGCCTTCTGGATCCTAAGAATTTGGAAATCAAAACATTATCCTCAAACAATTTGTTTTAATACATCGTTATGGGTGCTACTAAAACAACAGTACAAGGTAAGAAATCAAATTTCAAGTTACTACTTACTACCAAAAGGGTTGAAGTTGATTCTGGATTGAAAAAGTATGAATTTAGAGAAAAAGCATCCCACTTTGATGAGAATGAGTGCTCTAATTCAAAGGAAAAATCCTCTATGACAGGTTCCATCAAGAGAGGACCACAAGGTATTATCGAGGGCCATAAAGAGAAAAGGCAGAAGATAGATCGGAAAACATCTCTTCTGTGTACTGCCATTCTGAAGAGTCTAACATCCCACAGACATGGCTGGGCTTTTAATAAGCCAGTGGATCCTGTGGCATTGAATATTCCAGATTATTTTACAGTCATATCTCATCCCATGGATTTAGGCACTATTAAATCCAAGCTGGAAAAAAATATTTACTTTAGCATTGAGGAATTTGCAGCTGATGTTAGATTGACCTTTTCAGCCATGACATATAATCCTCCTATGAATGCTGTTCATTTAATGGCAACGGAGCTCAAAAAAATATTTGAGAGAAAATGGAAAGACTTGGAGAAAAAATGCAAGTGTGAAAATGAGAATGAAAAAATTATGACTGGAGCAGTGAGGGGACATGTGAGAAAATTTTGTAATAGGATGCGTCCCCTGCAAAAGGATACCTTGCCCAAAAAGATGCAAGTACCTGAAATGAAAGAAATGAAAGAAATTCAGAAGATTAGTTCATTGGATGGAAGACATGCTAAAGTAAGTATTGTTTTCTTCGAGGGAAGTAAGCCTCATTGGAATTTGCGAAAATGTAATACATGTGTTGGAATTGATGTAACATAATGTTGCTTGTTATTGTATTTTGCTTGTTTTATGTATGTTCATAATATTTTTTAATTGTGGCAATACTTTGATTATATAGGTTGAGGTTCCTAAGTCGTTACAGACTCGTTGCAAATTGATTCAGAAAAACTTACACAAAGGTACAAAGCATTAAGTCGTTACAGATTCGTTGCAAATGATTTGTGATATGTGACGTTCTACCTATAACTTATTCGATAATTTGGAATGCACTGATGATGTGGATAGTATGTGAAGGGGCAACAAGTTGTCTCGATAGTGAACATGGATGTTATACTTCTCACCTTACATCACCTGTTACTGATTCCCTTTCTAGAGAAGGTCAACTTTTCCATTTATGCTTCATTTAATTGCTACTGCACTTTATATTGTGAATTGGTATGACTCTAATTGCTATTTTTTTTTCCAGAATGGAGCACTCCTGTTTATGATGTACTGTTATCACCCAAACAGGCTATCCGTGTTGCTACACTGAAGCGCCGCTTTGCAGATACTATCCGTAAAGCACAAAATGAAACACTTTTGGACCAGGTAAGGATTTTGCATATCTTGGTTATGGTACTTTCTCCTTGTGTTTTAATAGTTTATAGTTTTGAATGTAGCATTATTCCCCAACTCCTTTTGCCTTTCTTTGTTTAGGATGTGAAAATGAAGATGCAAAAGGAAAGGGAAAGGAAGCAGCATGAAGGTGAATATAGTATCTGTCATTTCCATACTCGGGGAAAAAATTAATTTGGTTTAATATAACTTTATGATTGTTTTCATATTTAAATGCTCATTATCTTAGTTGAATTTTGATTTGGGGACTATGAAGCTTTATTTCTAGCTTTTATATAATATAAATGCTGCATTTTGCTTCATTTACACTGTTGTGGTAGCTGCAAGAATAAAAGCCAATGAAGCGTTTAAGCAGCAAAGAGAAAAAGAAAGAGAAGCTGAACGAGTCAGAATACAAAAGGTTTTGTTCTTGTATAATATATTTTTTATAATGGTTTTTCAAAATGACAACATGAAGTTTCACTCTATGTGTCTTCTTTGGTAGGGGACATGTGAGAAAATTTTGTAATAGGATGCGTCCCCTGCAAAAGGATACCTTGCCCAAAAAGATGCAAGTACCTGAAATGAAAGAAATGAAAGAAATTCAGAAGATTAGTTCATTGGATGGAAGACATGCTAAAGTAAGTATTGTTTTCTTCGAGGGAAGTAAGCCTCATTGGAATTTGCGAAAATGTAATACATGTGTTGGAATTGATGTAACATAATGTTGCTTGTTATTGTGTTTTGCTTGTTTTATGTTTCATTTAATTGCTACGGCATTTTATATTGTGAATTGGTATGACTCTAATTGCTATTTTTTTTTCCAGAATGGAGCACTCCTGTTTATGATGTACTGTTATCACCCAAACAGGCTATCCGTGTTGCTACATTGATGTCATTGGAGTTTGAATTTTGTTTTTATAGCCTGGAAATTTAACCTTTTTGTATGTGGTTACTGTATAATATAGCAGTGCATGGAATGAAATCACATGCCTAAACTCTTCTAACACGACATGGAATAAAACTATTTTCTTTCTATAACTGTATCATTTATATATTGTAGGTCTTAGTTATGCCTTCAGCTGTTGTGGGGACAGTACGCTCATTGGAGCGTGACTCTAATGCATGTAAGGTTGCAAGAGCTGGAGATAATGTAGCTGTAACATTGCTAGGTGTAGATGGAAGTCATGTAATGGCAGGAGGTGTACTATGCCATCCTGACTTTCCTGTCACAGTTGCAAAGCATTTGGAGTTGAAAGTACTTCTCTTGGATGGTGCAAGTCCCTTATTGGTGGGCTCTCAGGTGTGTACGATATGTATGAGATATTCTTACAGTTTATTGTCCAATTTCTATTCATTGGGGGAAAAAATTCAATTTTCTTTTTCTATACGTGCAGTTAGAGTTTCATATACACTATGCAAAGGAACCTGCTAGAGTTTCAAAAATATTGTCAGTACTTGATCCCAAGACTGGTAAGGTAACCAAAAAGTCCCCACGCTGTCTTACTGCAAAGCAAAGTGCAGTAATTGAGGTAAATAAACAATGCAAAACTTGCTTTTTAAATAATCTCACCTGAATTTTTGTTCGTCTTCGATGCCACGGACTCAAAAAAACTTGGAATGACTTTTATTGTCTCTGATTTCAGGTGATTTTGCACGAGATAGTCTGTGTAGTAGAGTTCTCTAGTTGCAAAGCTCTTGGAAGAGTGTCCTTAAGATCATTAGAAAGAACAATTGCTATTGGACTTGTGACAAGAATTATTGAAGATGAAAATTAGTTTATGATATTCGTCATAAAAGATTAGATGATGATAACATAGAGAATTTAATGGTATTTTCAGTAAACATCTTTGTTTGCCATCTAAGTCTAGAATTAGTTATGCTGGCAGACAACGGGCGGCTATGTGACTCTTGTTGAGTTTTTTTTTTGTCACTATATATGTATCATAGGAATAAATCTTTGGTGCTACTGCTGCATCAAGATTCAGTGCATCCCATCAATGATAGTATTACACATCATAGGAGAGAGAAAAAATTTGACAGAGAAAAAAAACTTTAGTTGACATGTAATAATTTTATTAGTGGGATGTACTGAATCTTTGGTGCAACAGTAGCACCAAAGATTTATTCGTATCATAGGTGAGTGTTCCTCTTCATTAGTCTGGAGTTCTACTATAGCAATCTAGTGGGATTAGAAGAAATAAAAATGATGTATCTGTTGGATGTAATTGCTTTTATTCTTTGATGCCTAGACTTCAGCATAGATTGATCTGCTTATAATAAAACATTGCATCACTTGTTTATATTCGGGGCTTGCAAATCATGAAAAACTCCCGGTGTTGTTTTCGGGGAAGGCATTATATTTCTACTTACGGTCTCTGGTTAAGGAATGTGGTCTGGGACCATCCTGTTGCTTGTAGAGAATCAATGAATGATCCAAAATTGGATCAAATAATGTCGGTGATTTTTTATTTTTGGTGAGGCTTTGCTCCTATGTTGCGGTTCTGGTGGAGCAGTCTTCTCTAGTGGATTCCGTTTTGGCTCCCTAATGGCCTAATGGGTTATGGGAAAGCGGGGAAATGAATTTTTCATATCTAAATTTGACCTATGTTCTGGTGTGAGAAGATTTTATTCATTCATTATTAATCAATCATCATGTTAGAGTTGCATAGAAGCTTGATTTACCTTAATGAAATATATAGTTTTTAATTATTGTACTTGTAAACCAGAGAAGAATAAATGAGTCATTTAGATGATTGACCGTTACAAATTTGTAATTAAAAGTTATGAGTGGTCGAGATTTTTTTATTTTCTTCTTAAAATGAGATTTGTTTATTTTTCAAACTTTTTATTTCTTAATTTTTTTAATTAACTAATTAGTTGCTCTTATTTTGTTTTATAATTTTAATTTATTGTT